ACATTAAAGGAAAAAATACATTACTACACCAAGAAAATTTTATAGTAACAAAATGTGTTACAAATTTAGAGATCCTATTCAAATCATATTCTATTACTTCAATGGCCAGAAAAATTGGAAAAACCATATTACATTACCATATTACTTTACAAGAATTAATAGAATACAATTTTACAAGTTGGAAAAATAGTGAAAAAGTATATACTTATTGTGGAAAAAACTTAGTATAATTGAGAAAAATGAAATAATAACAAAAAATATCTTTATTTTAAAATTATAGTTATTTAAAACTGCTAATAACAAAACATTTAAAATCACATATTTAAAAATTAAAGGTATATCTACGTCAGGCTTATACGTATAAGCACAGATATATATAAAATTGTTAGTGCAGTTTTCCACAATGGTGAAAGTCTAACTAATGGATATTATACAAACGTTGTGCGTAGTAAGCATACAAAATGGATTTCAATTAATGATTCCACAATAAAAAAATGTAGTTGACCACGAAATTTAAAAGATCCATACATTTTCTTTACTGAAAAAGTAATGCAATAAGATTTGTACCTAAATAATCCATACAAAAAGCAATGAGAACGTCATAAACAGTCTTTATTAAAGAAAAAAACGCTGAGTTTGTATCAAAACAAAAACTACAAAACGAAAAGTACATGTTAATTTAATCAAAGTGTAGATGTTTTAAATTAATTATAATAAAAAAAGAAGTAAGACCAATATAATAAATCAAATAAATATGTACTTATTATACAAAAAATCATGTGATAAGTATCAATAATATTAATAATTGAATGTTGAACTTGGCGTGCCCCAATTAATAAATTCATAAATAAACTTATAAATATATTCATACAGAAAAGTTATTCCTGTATACGGCGACACACAGTCTTGAATTCATGAAACATTAATATAGATTTCTCCATAGTGAATATGTATATGTATTTTTTTTAATAATGTACATAAATTATTAGTAGCATTATAAATATTTATATTGAAGAATGATGTATTAATTGGGGCACGCCAAGTTTTTAATCCTCGATGTTAAGTTTTTCTTAATTTGATATTTGGATATTTCAGCGTTCAATTATTAATAATATTAACACTTATCACATAATTTTATGTATAATAAGTACCCACATATACGTACTTGGTTTATTATATTGATCTTACTTCTTTTTTTATTATAATTAATTTAAAACATTTACACTTTGATTAAGTTAACATGTACTTTTCGTTTTGTATTTTTTGTTTTGATACGTATTCCGCGTTTTTTTCTTTTACAAAGATTCATTTTTTTCGACACTTTATTTCAATACTTTTATATTTATATGTAAAATGACAACAGAAATCGATCGAGGGATTAATCCTGGTGAATTCATGAATATACAAAAAGCAATACAATTTGTTTTAAGATTTATTTATTTTTTACAATAACTAATTTTATTCATCATACAATAGCATTAAATTGAGATTGTTGAAAAGTAAATATTTTACGAGATATTTTATACATTATTCTGAAAAGTATCAAGATAAAAATATATAAAACATGTAAAATATCTCGGAAAGTATTCACTTTATGATTATTTTATTTCAGTACTTTTATACGCAGAATTACTCTGGGGATAATTTGTGTTAAAAGACCAAATAAATTTAATTAAAAAATTTATATTGATTTTGAAATAGTGCGCCCACCCTAAGGTCAAGCCAATAGTATTTTTACGTATGATTCCTTTGAAACTCTTCCAAATTTCATCTAATATTTTTTAGTACGATATCAAATTTAATAAATATATAGATATTTAGTAGATATATAAGATGTCACTTTATAATGGGACTTTTATAGTAGATGCCTTAAAATGTAATAAAAGGACTACGTAACTTGTAATATATAAGAAATATATAATGTCCTTTCGGCAAAAACTACTTGTCCGCGTAAAATAACCAATAAAAATGTGCAATAACCTATCTTACATATATGATTCTAAAGATGCAAATAGAGTAACGATACAATTATTTACTAATACCAATGTTCGTTTCTGGTTTGCTTACACAGAAACGATAACATTCAAGAAAAAAACTATTAGTATTGATGTTTTTCAAAATCATGCTTCGTTAAAATATTCGGAACACGTGAAAAAATGCTGAATATATCATATACAATTGTCTTACTAAAGTAACGATACATACAATTATCCGTAAGAACTGTTACTACTGTTACTACTGTTACTCTCTTTTCCCTCTAAGTCCTTATAGTATATTAAATACCTGCTGGGGAACATTGCAGATCCAGTCATATAATCTCTGCATGGCCTAAGCGACGGAAACTTATTCAATTCATAAATATAAAGATCCGGGAACACCGGAGAGGTTTCCATATTACTCAATACCTGATATATTTGTATTATATTATTATCAGCCCTCTTTCTCGTCTGAGCCAACATAAGTAACGGACAACAGTGATATTGAAGTGCTCTTATGTCATTGTTACAAGTCAAGTCCACGTTAAATACTACAATCACGTTTGGTAACTTATATAATTTTCTTGCGTTCGCATACTCGCAATAAGTCATGTTATGACTTCTATAATGAATTTTTCGTTGGTCGGATTTACAGTTTCTATTATAATGTAGTGTATATTTTTTAGTTAGCAATCCTCTTCCTATCGCTTCAATTGATAACGATTGAATTCTACAAAATTGATGAAGCAAGAGTTCCCAAGCATATACATTGCGCTTGTCCATAGGTGTTTCGATTAGGATATGAATAACATAGGATTTGTTCGATGAAATTCTGTATATACCTGCTCTGTTCATGGCATATATCAGTGACAGCGGTCCAGATAAATCCTCAGACAGGTAAATGAAAGCTTCGCACAAATATCGAGATGTACATATCGACCCATTTTCTATATTTTCTCTAATAAAAGTTTTAATGTCTGGACAAGCTCTTATGTTACATTTTACGCTCTTTTCAAAAATTCTCTTCTTTCTCTCCTCATCAGGCCACATATGTTCGAAATCCAGTTCGTAACTCTGCCTCAAAAATATGCAATTATGATTTATGCGACGTGAACCGTGCTTGTTGCACGTGTTGACGTATAGGCATGTTTTGCAAGGAGGAAGCAGGTTCTCCTGTGTGTAACAAATGAAACACGATTTAGGGAACAAAAACATTTGCTTTTCGTACGGCTTCAAATCGCGCTCTAGCACTGTCCTGATATCTTTTATGTTTTGGTTCTTGAATTTGACCCATTCCATCGGCGTTTTAGCATGAAAATCTATTGTCCTTTCTCCTCGCACCAAACGTAGTATTACTATTGCGATACAGATTTCTGCGTGCTCTGTTTCATGCAGCGTCATATGGTAGTTGCTGCAATAATAGATCATGTGGCACGCACTACATTCTAGCAAATTATAAGTCGGTACTTTGCAAACATGGCAAAGATTCGGATGGAAAAAACTATTGTAATTTGCAGCTGGTCTTACTTCCGAAGATGTTTCGTACGCTAATGAAGTTGCCATATCTCTCTGGAATTGCTGTTTAGGGATATTTTCTGTATAAGAATGGTTTGCAAATAACGCACAATACTCGGCAAATTGCGGATATACAAAGATACTTACTCAAATAGATGTTGATCTCATGATTGCTTGAAGGACATTATTAATACCATTACTGTTACTGTTATATATAGCTACTGGAAGATATGTGTTGTGGCTTTATCCATGTATCCCTACTTCAAAGGATATTAGTAGCAAAATATACATCTATGAACAACGACCAGTGTTACTATAAAAAAGACCTTCAATTGTATTAAATAGCAAGCTAAGATGTACCAGATAACTACTTTTTGTATATATGACGCCGCTTCTCTCTCTCTCTCTCTCTCTCTCTCTCTCTCTC